GTGAACCACAGGGACACCGTGCACTAACGAGCCTTCTATACTAAGCGGAGAAGACAGAACATTTTAAAAAATAACACAAAATTATTTCCCTCTAGACGTTCTATTTGATGAAGCTTATGTAATCCACGTACACGCTGCTTCAAGTAACCCGATCATGTAAAACAATGGCCTTTAGACTAACTGGACTGCACATGGGAAGCGTGTTGATATGATGCTTTTTGCTACACAGGCCTGGTACCGATTCTAACAAAATCCGATTTACGTGCAAGGGCTTTGGATATATGGGCAAGGTAATGACTCCAAGGGAAACATCATGAAGGAAGGCGGGACTTGTCAAGAAAACAGACCACCCTGGAACCAAACACTCTGCTCCTTACAATGAGCTGCTTCAAGCCGACGAAGGACTGCTCCACCGCGCCGGCGTCCGCCACCGTCCTCCGCGCCGCCGCCTTCTCCCCCAGGAAGCGCAGCAGCAGGTCCTTGACGGCATCTCCCTGGGAAGGACGTGCGAGGCTGGTCAGGGCAGCGCGGCGTTGCCTAACTCAGCTAACCAGACGTCACCCGGAACCCCAGGTCCCCGTGCGGTGAGGATCCACAGCTTCCCCTGACCCTAACCCTGCCCCTGACGGGCCGTGGTTAAACCGCAGAGCAGCAGCCCTTTCTCAATGCGAGTGCCGAGTGAGCGCTGTGCGATGCCGCGGCCGGGAGTGAGCTTCTGGGCCCGACCCCAACGCCACATGCCGGACCCGGTCCCTTTGGCACATTTCCAAACACCCGAGGACCCCTGGTCCCAGCTCCCGAGAGCCACCGGGTTAAGGTTTAAGTCACTTCCATGGCAACCTTCCATTCCCCAGAATTACAGGGGGGGGAGGGGAGAGCTGCAAACGGCAGGGCCTTGGAAAGCGGGTGCTGGAGGCCAGACCCCCTACTGTGACGGGAACTCCCCAGGAGGGCGGGAGGGGAGAGACATGGGGCGCAGGTCACGGGCCACCTCGGGGCAGGGAGGAGGTGCTCACTGCGCTATCTCCTATCCGGTTTTCCAATCTACCAATGAAACGCGACGCTCAGTAAACATCTACTGTGACATCGCTTGTGTGCGACACACCCCAGGGTAGAGAGGGAGCCAGTGCTCTCAGCTGCCTCCTGACTGGGGGCTGTGGGTGCTCGGTTCTCTGTGGACATCCCAACGCTAGGCATCTGCAACTAGCGAGACCCCTCCTCCTTTTTTAAGAAGATGGATGTGAGAGAGAGCAGACGTTGATGAGCCAGAGATTCATCGACGGGTGCCTCCTGCACGTGCCCTGACGGGTCGGACTGCAGCCTTCCAGGGCACAGGTGAGACTTCTTCCTGATGACAAATTCCCAAGAGCGGATTCCGGGGCAGTTTTTAAAACTTTATTTTAAAACGTTTGTACCAAGTTATGGTCCCATCAGGGCTGCCCGAGACAGGCTGCTTCCCACTTTAACAGCACAGCATAGGACGGAAGTAGATCAGGGAAGAGGAATGGTTTTATCCTCCAGTGGACTGCGCTGACACTGCTACTCGCACACATGACATTTCTGTTTTTATGATGATTATTGGGGCCCTCCTATCTCCTTGTTGAGTCTGCGAGAGCTTTGTCCACTCGAGCACATCAGACACAACACCAACACCCGACCATCTCGTAAAGGCCCAGCGTCTCTGAGCAGAGAACCCCAGCTCCAGCTGTGGCCAGCACAACTGATTCAAGAGAAACGAAGGGAATGAAGCCTGTTTAAAAACAAAGGGGGTGGAGACTCATCCTCTGCTGCAGCCCAGATGTCACCAAGAAGCCGATCACAGCCACTTCTGAGAACTGCGAGGTAACCAGCTCCCTTGCTGAAGTCACCCCTAAGACCAGGACTCTTTCCTTAAATTACATCAGGGACATCAACAGGGCCCGAAATCACCCAGTGACATAACACGGACCCTGACAATCAGAATCTTAGGACTCCTAAAAGCAGGACTTTCCAATGCTTGAAAGGTATTCACTTATATATGGCATATGCGTATAAAAGGTATGCTCCTTGTACATAGCAGCTGTGTGTACAGGAAGTGTTACACGCACGTGTGTAGTAAATGTACAGAAGATAACACATGTACATAAGCGACAAGCAGCCGGGAACTGAGGAGTGGACACAATGACCTGCTTCATGGGGGGATCAACTGCGAGCACTGCCTCTTCCCAGGAGGTGCCCGGCCTCACCTGGATGTTGTCGAACTTGAGGCCCGGCATGGTGAGGTTCTCCTTGTCGACGAACACGGTGCGGTACTGCTGCGTGGCCACCGAGACGAGGACGTCCCTGGTCGCCTCCCCAGGCAGCCAGGCATCGCTCCTGCGGTCCATCTCGCTCATGCTCAGGGCGGTGGCGAAGGGGTCCTCGCTCCCTGCGAACACGGCCTGGATCTGGGAGAAGGGCTTCGGGGACGGAGGGGTTTCCAGCGAGGCTGGGGGCACAGCTGGCTCTGAGCTCTCCGTCCCTGGGGAGGCGAGTGGAGACGGCTGACCGGGAACCGCCGTGCCGGCGTGGGGGTTACTGACGGAAATGAACGCGGAGGTGGTGAAGGAATCAAAGAAGTCCGAGGCCAGGGAGCTGGCGCTGGCGGTCTCCCCAAAGAACGTGCTCAGGCTGGGGCTGGGCTGGACCGCCGGGGGAGGCGTCCCAGAGGCCGGCCGGCTGGGGCCGCTGAAGCTGGGCGACTTCACCATCTGGGACTCGAAGCCGTCCTGCAGGAAAGGGCTGGGCTGGGCGGCCGCGGCCGGGGCCTGGCTGAAGATGGTGCACACGGGCACGGGCACGTCCTTGGGAGGGGGTGGGCCCTGGTGCCTGGGGCCCGGCTCCCCAGCATCGTCATGCTCACAGGCGGGCAAGCCTTTACCTTCCGGCTCCGGGTCTGCTTTCAAGGCCGCCCTGGCGCCAGGAGTGCCTTCCGAGACGCCCTTCGGTGCCTTGTCTCCATCGCTCTCACTGTCAGGACTGGGCGTATCCACGGTGCCTTTGCCTCGGCCCGGGACACTGTCCGGGCTGCGATCAGCACTGCCTCCTGCAGGCTCCCGGACATCCTGCGCCCCACCAAGGTCACCGCCCAGGTCGCCTGTGTCGTCTTCGCTGTTGTTCGGGGAATCCGAAATGAGGACGCTCTCCATCATGTGCTCGCTGAGCTTGTCTGCGAAGTTATTGGAATCATCCGAGACGGCCTCATTCTCCTCTGACCCAAACTCATCGCCCCCGAGATCAATGGTTTCCTCCTGGTAGAGCAACCCGGGTTCTTGCTGGGGTGCCTCCGGGGCAATGCTTCCTGCTCCCCCCTCGGCCAGCCGGGGCTCCGCGGTCAGGCTCTGCTCAGCGCCCGGAGCGTCCCCCATGGTCCCTGAAACAAAGGCAAATACACCAACCTCAGCAGCTTTTCCTCCCGTTACTATGAAGCTCGTTTTATCCTACCTTTTTCTTTCTTCTTTTTAAATATATTTTTATTGATGTCAGAGAGGAGGGGAGAGGAAGAGAGAGACAGAAACATCAATGATGAGAGAGAGTCATCGACTGGCTCATGCACGCCCCACACTGGGGATCAAGCCCACAACCTGGGCCTGTGCCCTGACCGGGAATCGAACCCTGACCTCCTGGGTCATAGGTCGATGCTCAGCCACTGAGCCACGCCGGCCGGGCTACTTTATAAAAATGGTAAACACGTCATCTTACAATTGTCTACCAGCGGTTCTCAGCCTTCCTGACGCCGCAACCCTTTCATACAGCTCCTCATGTGGTGGTGACCCCCAAACATAAAAGTATTTTCATTGCTACTTCATAACTGTAATGTTGCTGTTATGAATCGTCATGTAAACATCTGATATGCAGGATGGATTTTCATTGTTCGCGACCCACAGGTTGAGAACCGCTAGCGAGTCTACCTAGACCAATGGAAAGTGCAACAGCCAGAGCGACCCCTACTGTTCAACTGTGGATCTTGGGTGATAAGGGACTTGTCGGGCTGCAACCTGTCCCAGCCGGTGGAGACACTGATATGGGGAGGCTGAGAAACCGTGCGTCCCTGCGCCTGCTGCTCAGTTTTGCAGTGAACCTACAACTGCACTAAACAGTGTTTATCAGTTATAGGTTCACATCCATATTCAAAAGACTCCATTTCTCCAGCCACTTACATGTTACTGTAGTAAAAGACAGGCAACGTAAAACTCACCGCCTTAGTCATTTCTACGTGTACAGTTCAGTGTATTAAGCATGTTCAGGTTGTGCAACCATCACCGCCATCCGTCCCAGAGCTCCTCTCATCTTGTAAAACCAACTGTGCGCCCGGTAAGCTGACGCCTCTCCCAGCCGGGGACCCAGTCACCCTCCTCCTAGGAACCTGCCGCTCGGGGGCCTCACGGAAATGGAACCAGCAGTGCTTGTCTTTCTGTGGCTGCCTCACGTCACAGAGCACGTCCTCAAGGCATATAAGGCCACGTTGTAGCAAAGATCAGAATTTCCTTAAACGTTTTTTTAAAATCCTCAACTGAAGAGATTTTCCCATTGCTTTTTAGAGGAGCGAGGGAGGGAGAAACATGGACGTGAGAGAGACACATTGACTGCTGCCTCCCACAGGGGCCCCACGGGGCTGGGAGTGAACCCGCATCCCAGGGGTGTGCCCTTGAACCGGAATCGAATCTGAGACCCTTCGGCCCACGGGCTGATGCTCTAACCACTGCGCCACAGGCCAGGGCTACCTAGGATGTTCTAAAAGAAATCATCTGAAAGTTACAAAGCGAGGCAAAAAGCAACAATCTTTCAAGTCACAGCTTAAGTGTGTAACGATGTTTAGATTCTCCTCGGAAACCTTGTTTCAGATAACATCATAAATGAAACCCTCTGCCTGCGCCCCGGTCCGCCCTCTGCCTGCTCCCCGGTCCCCCCTCTGCCTGCTCCCCGGTCCGCCCTCTGCCTCCCCCGACCCCTCC